ACACAAAAAAAAATTTTTTCGGACACCTAACCCTACCCCCCCCCCCCCCCCGGGAGGGGGTGTAAAAAAAAGTTTTTTTTTTTTGGAATATTTTCTTACAGGACTTTCTTTTGGCTTTCTCCTTCTCCATTGCGTGTGCTTGCGTGTGGTGGTGTTCACGGCACGACGTGCAAGGAGGACCTTGTTACTAGGAAGGTAGGTGTAGATTGCCACGTCATGTACTGAAATAAGCTGTGGTGGGCTGGGGACACTCTTATTTGGTTTTCAAGTCTTGAAGTACAGCAGTAGTGCTTGGGGACAACCCCTCAGCTACAAGTAGCTTAGAACTTCTCTAGCCTCTGCGACAAGTCCACGACGTTTGGCCTCGGTCGAATGTAGCGAAATGACACAACCAAATGACACATACCCATGCGTCGAACCGTCATCATTCCAAGCTTAGTCAAGCCGGCAACATACCGAAGAGGGGCTGTCGATGAGCCTACGGCGGTGGAATCACCTTCGCCACGTGCAACACCCATCCACAAATAATAGCAATTTGTCTTGCATGGTACTTATTATTCACTCCCCGAAGCCCCTCCCCCTCCCTCAACAAGACTAAACCGCCGTTTCTTCGAGCGCTTTCGCGTTGAGCGCCTTCGCCCTTCATCCTCTTCCCCCCTCACCCCCACCCCATCCTCCTCCTCCTCCTCCTCCTCCTCCTCCTCCTCCTCCTCCTCCTCCTCCTCCTCCTCCTCCTCCTCCCCCTCCTCCTCCTCCTCCTCCTCCTCCTCCTCTTCCGACCCCGAGCTCTCATCTTCAACCGAGTCCCCCGTCTCCACTGAGGACTCGTCTGAGAGTGTCCCGTCTGTACCATCAACCCCCTCCGCCCCCGGCGAGACCTTACGGCGTGCTACGGGGGCTTTGCCAGCCGTACTCTTCTGTTGTGGGTCCTTGCGGCGTGTGACGGGGGCTCTGACAGCCGTACCCTTGCCCTGTATCTTTCCCACCACCGCCGCCTTCTCAGCCTCGCCTACGGCAAAACTCTTCGTGAACTTCGCAGTGTTCGGATCTGTTTTGCTCAGCTCCAACGAAGTGGCATGCTCCTGGTCTACGTGGTGGGACATGGAGTACTTCCACACCCACTTTTTCAGGGCTGCAAAACAAGCACTTCAGGGGTACGTTAGTGCAAGGTGTAGAAGTCGTGAACTTCGACGCCGCTTTTAGGCCGATAGCAACGAGACTTGTTCGCGAGTCCAACTTGGGCGCAAGAGAACAGTTGGAGTGTATCTGAGGCGCAGCCTTCCCCGTCTTTGCTTCGACAACCCACGTCTTGCACTTCTCCCCAATGTCCCCGCCACAAAAGCCGCACGTGTTGCGCTGCCGTCGGTCCTGTGGGAGCGGCAGTACCATCAACAGAAACACATTCAAAACAAAACGTTGTCATCGTTCCTGCAGGTATGTCCAACTTGAAATATTTGGCAGTCCTTTGAACTCACAGAAACAGAAACAAAGTGCACTTGCTTGCGAGCGTCTTACCTTATCCTGAAGGATGTGTCCCCCCATGTGCTGCAGCAGCAGTTTCGCGGGCACCTCCAAGAAACACAGCGGGCACTCCACTTTCCCACCCACATCCACAGAAGCTGCCGGAACTTCCTCCGCCCCGAGAGCCCCGCCCGCCATGCAAGTGAGGTTGTCATGAAGAGGAAGAGGGGTGACTTGGTTGCGTGGTGGTGGTCGCACGTCAGGAACCGCCGCCCAGCCTTGTACCCTTTCCACTTCAGCTTGAAGCACGTGCTGTGTGGTGATCAACTCGTCCATGCTGAACA